TTTAATGTTCTACTGATAGAATGGGATTAAGAAAATCTCTGGAAATAACGATAAACAGAGTGGCTCCATAACTTGGGGCAGAATCATTGAGTTTTGATGGTTGGTCTATCACTAAGTGGGAGAGTTCAGTTTAACAAGATACCACTCCCCAAAAATAAAATACCTGTAAGACACGGATGAAATGCCTTTAAGACAACAGATTCTCTGTATTTTAAAGTATTTTTGAAGTAGTTCCTGCTTGAACACCCAAAAAAATCAGGCAACTGCTGTTTATTGAATTTCCAGTTCACAAGGCAAAAAAACTTGGGCTTTAAAAGTCATAATAATCTAAAATCAGACTGCTGTTTTCTTTTGCTTTTTTACATCGCGTTGTGCTTTAGAATACCTCAAATATTGGCTCGCAGTGCTTAGTAATAACTTTTATTTACCTTTCTGTTGTTTAATCCAGGAATTTCAAAGTACTTCTGTAAAATAATCGTTAGATCAATTCCAAACACAGCAAAAAAAAATAAAAGGGCAGAAATATCGATGACTTAACACAGAAGTGGTGTAGCAACAGGGATGGAAGTAGAACATCTTCCTAAATCTGTTCACTGGCAGTTTTTTCCCATGAATTTTACGGGATAATAACCCTCCCTCTCTGTTTTTATGGAGAGAAACCCACACTGGCTCACAGCAGTCTGTGCCGCTCCGGGTTTGGTGGAAAAACGACACGTTTGACATCTGAGTGAAACACCAGAAGCTGTCAGCAACGCTTACAGACAATATTTGAATTGCTACAGATACCTGGCAGCTGTACAGATAGTCCTTCAAGTGTTTGATCTGCTTGCACTGTGCTGGTGGAGTGAAAAGCGAAGGGTAGAGTCTCAGGAATGAGTTGAGCCTCTCCTTCGTGCACTTGTGGGACACAGCGGCTCTCTTTCCCTTTGGAATTGTGGCTGGGTGGAAACATGAGGTTATTCTAACAAGTAGAATGGTCAGGAGTGTGTTTTAATTTTTATTTTCAAGCAAATAAGGTCTTCAGGGTCTGTTGTTCCGGAGCTGAACGGACTGGATGGTTCATTTGGGGAGGAGCGGCAGCTTTTCTACGGTGCTCGTGTTGGACACGGGCAGGTTGGAGGGGGCTTGGAGCAACCTGGGATAGTGGAAAGTGTCCCTGCCCATGCAGGGATGGTCTTTAAGGGCCCTTCCAACCCAAAGCAGTCTGTGATTCTGTAATTGCTCATTTTGAGTCGCTTGGTGCAGTTGTGTGGTTTTTCTGCCCCATGTTTTGGGGTGGGATCATAAAATAAGTCAGGCTGGAGTTCTCTCAAGGGATGAGTGACTCAGAACTTCCCTGCTGCTGTTCCTGCTCCTCCTCCTGGAGCCCTGTCCCTGCACAGAGCCTGGGAGACCTTCCTGATGGAGAAGGCACAGCAGAGGTCGTTCCTGGTCCGTGCTGGGAGGTTTTTAAATCCCAACTGGACACGGCCTGGGGGTACCAGGTGTGGCCTCTTAGTTGGTCCTGTCACCTCTGAGGTCTCTTTGGGTGCCTCAGCTGTGTGTGCCTGCTCTCCTGAACCACCCAACTCGTCCAGCAGCTGTCCCACCTTTTGGGAGGAGCTGCCCAGGGAGGTTTGGAGTGCCCAGCCCTGGAGGTGCCCAAGGAAGGCCTGGCCGTGGCACTCTGGGCTGGGGGACAAGGTGGGGATGGGGCACAGGGTGGACTCAATGACCCTGGAGGTCTTTTCCAACCTCAGTGATTCTGGAATTCTGGGATCTTCCCCGTTCAGCTTTTTATCCTGAGGTATGAACAGAAACTCTTCTTGTCGGAGCAACAACATCAATGAGCTTCTGTCCTGATGGAGGGCGGCGTTCCCGTGGATTTGAGTTGATATTCCTGCGGCTCGCGTTGGAAACTGGAATCCTTAACTCCTTTGTTTGGCACAATTTACATTTATTTTGGTTTTTTTTCCTCCCTTGCTCTATAACGAGATTTAGTAAATGAGGCTTCTCGTCACATGTTCCGTTAAGAGACCAGATCCTTAATGTTCATAAATTCAATTGTTTCCTTTTCCCCATTACCCTCCTCTCAGTGTGATCTTTTTTTTTATCTGCGCTGCTCATTCTTTCAGGACTTCATTATTTGGAGAAAATGTACTGTGGCACATTTAGTGGTAATTACGAAAGCTTGTTTTAATTACAGTTGTCAAAGAACACGTTTTATGCCGCCTTATTGCTGCCGCCGTCTCTTAATTCGGAGAGAATCTCCACCTTTTTTACGAGTGGAAATGAAAATTAACGGCCTCCCCTTTGAGTGATGCGTCCGGATGATTCGGTGTGGTTAGGAGTGATTTTGGTGAATATTGAAGGCTTCAAAAAGCGATTCTTTTGAGGGGGAAGGGAGCAGAACATGTTCCTGAGAACGTCCATAAATCACCCCTGTTGCCTGTTCGGAACGATGCGTGGATTTATACGTTGAAATAGAAGCTTAAAGTCTAAAAACGTGGCAGTTCAACATAAATTAAGCGTGGAAATCGAGAATTATTTATTGGGACGGATGAAGAGTGTAGGTTTGCTGGCCATTGTTGTATTGATGAGGAAGAAACCTTTGAAATCTGATTTTATCAGATGTGAGGGCTCAGGGTGAGCGCAGCCTTTCTGGGCAGAGGAATTTGATGGACGTCAAATCCCTGGAAACATCCAAGGGAGATTGTTCTGAGCAGCCTGGGGTGGCTGAAGGTGTCGCTGCTCATGGCAGGGGGTCGGGGGCAGGTGATTTTGAAGGTCCCCTCCAACCCAAACCCTTCTCTGAAAGGTTGAATTCACAACAGGACCCTCACAGGCTGGACCTTGGACCTCTTACTTGGAAGCAGATCCTTGTTTTCCCAGGAAAACGCAAACTGGACCCCCCTCAGGGGTTTTTTCCACTGTAAACCTGGTGGATATTAATGGATTTGGAGCTGAGTTGGCACTGAAGGGGCAGCTGAAAACCTGGGACTGCTAAATTTTTAAAACCTGCCTGCAAACTTTTATTGAACTACCTCATAATGGCTTTTTTTTTTTTTCCTTCTTTTTTCTTTTTTTTTTTTTCCCCCCTTAAATGATATCAATTTGTGGCTTCACACACCTGGAATCTTGTTGCATCCTGATAACCAGATTCCTTTATTTATGTTTTACAGTTAATTACCAAACACACGTTTTTCAGTCGGCTGCTTATTCGCTCTGTTTTACCTTCCGAGGGAGAAAAATAAATGTGCATTTGTTGTATCCAGTGTGAGGGGAGGGGGGGGGTTTGGCTTCATCACCAGGTGTCCCTGCATCCTGGAAACGAGACCATTCCCAGGAATTTTATTGGAGACATCCGTTTTTTTTTCCAGTGCTGGCACCTCACGGCAGAGCTGGGCCAAACCCAGCTCCTGCTTTGGAAAACGAAACCCAGGTTGGCCTTTGAATTCTGTTCCAACTTCCCTGTGATTGTGAAGAAGAAATTCCCAATAATTTCAGAACTGAGCCGATGTTTAATATTAGTGATGTATTTTTTGGGGTATTAAATTTGGGTGGTTTTGGGGGCAGATGGGCGGTGTCTCCCAGAAAACACCCAAATAAAGGCCTTTTTTTTAGACAGAATTTCGTTGTGAAGAAGCAACAAACCTGTCCCACTATCTCATTTACACCTAAACAGCAGCGTTGGGCTAATTGAATACCTGGCCACTCTTAATTATTTTCTCCCAGCTCGTTGATATTCACCAGGATTTGTAGATGTTGGCCCCATAAATATAACATTACTTTCCAGGTTTTTTTCTTTTGGCACTGAATTCCCTTCTATTGGCATATTTATAGTCCCCTGTATAAATGAATAATTTTATTTATTACTTATTT